TGTTCTTGAAATCTAGAAAGTTCCTTAACATTTAACTAAGTTCCCAAAATCTCGAAGAAGTTCATGGAGCTTTTTTGAAGTAAAATCTCTGATAAACTGCAACGAAGTTCTCTAAACTATAGCGAGAATCCCTGAAGTTCTTAGGAGTTTATTGAACTATTTTTAGATCTTAGCATAGCATAGCATAAACCAGGTTGCACAATGTCGTATGAGGTACGAGTTCCAAACTGTTGTTAAGAAGGAGACCCACCTTCATCTGTTGCTGTTAGATAGTAATTTGTGATTAATTACTACCTCTTAGATAATGGATATGTCTCCCTACAATAGACCAGAGCTGTCCTGGCCACGTCCTTGCATCTGGTGGGGAAAGGGGGGGAATGTTAGTCCGACACTTACTTAAGTGTCACGGGAAGGGTGGATTTTTGTTAGTAGGGAGGGTAAGCCATAGCATACGCCCAGCCGGCGTTGCTGGCAATCGTTACATCAAGCATTTAATAAATAGAAGCTGTAAGTAGTTTATCTGTCCGTTGTTGCTGCCCATTACCAAAACATATTATACAAAACAGTCTTCAGATTTTGGAATTAAGAAACGTTATCAGCTCGATCCTGTTGCTCCTTTGCGCCTGAAAATGTTTGTTGATCCTAAACATATAACCCAATTCATTCTGATCGATAGGAGGTTCTCATGTGTAAAAGGTTATTAATAGTATGTGGAATCGTATATTATTTAGAATGAAGATTCGCCCTTGGCCTAACTTCCACTAACTTGCATTATGGATAAAATCTGCCTGCAATCATTTCTTATGAATGCAAGAAGCTTGAACCCGGGAGTTACAAGGTGACAGCTCTACCGCAGCTACAATAGCCCATTTCAAGAACGCAAGTATTCCGAAGCTATTTTCACACATGATAAGCCCTACTCCAATACATTATCGATGCAAATATACACCATTGATAATGTACTGAAACTTTCAATCAAGCAGTACTGTCATACGTGTCAATACTTGATTGACACGTATTTAGTAAGTTTTGAAATGATCGTCTTGAATTAGATGGATATTTCCTATTATTGAACTATTTTTAGATCTTCTACAAATTTCCCTGAACTTTTTCAAAATTCCTTATACTTATTTATAGTTTTTCGTGGCTCTTCAAATTGCTACGAAATTCGCAAAACTTCTACAAAATTTGCTGGACTTCTATATATTTCGTTGATTTTCCGCGAAGGTCCTCGAACGAAATTCTTGAATTTGTACATAATTTCCACAACTATTCCAAACCCATGAGGCTTCAAAAAAAATGCCTTAACATTAAATAGAGGTTCTCGATCAGCTTCCCTGAAATAAAATAATGTTCCCTTAACTTCTAAGAAGCTTAAATAAATTTTCTACCACAACGCAGCTTTCAGAACTTTTCCAAGTTCCTTGTTTCTACAAATTTTTTGAAGTTCCCAAAATTTCCACTAACTTTCCGCAATTTCTACGATGTTCCTTGAACTTCTTAGAAGTCCTTGAAATTTTACGAAGCTCCCAGAAGTTAAAGAAAAATCCTTGAGCTCATGGTCAATTTGTAGAGCCTGAAGACGTTTTACTAGGGTATCGATTAATTGTCGATATAATATAATTTCTCAAAATTGCTTTTTCTAGTCTTAGGACTTAGGTAAAGTAGTCAATGCAAAGGACTTTAATATAATCTTTGTGTGTGGTCCAATTTTATTAATCGCTGTTAAATAGTAACAACGAACTTGACAGGCTTGACAATATACCGGTGAGTCAAAAAAAAAAACTCCAAAAACTCTGGGGGGGGGGCACCCCCAGCTACGTCAATGTTCACAGGATAGACAGGTTGGTTTTCATGATTGTCGATTACTTCATTGAGACGTAACCGTATCAATCTCGATAAGATGAGGCACTCAGTGTAAAGTGCGCCAATTATTGGGGAATAACTTTTGTAGACTCGGCGTTGAAAATCAATCACGAGTTGTATGGAAACTACTATTGTGAAGCATATACAATAAGGCAGGCTACAGTGGCCTGGCCATTAAGCAAGTGTGCCAGAATATAAAAAAAGCGCACTATGGTCAAAAACGCATAATATCACGAGAAAAATCGATATCTCTAAAACCATGCACTCTAAAGGTTTAACATATTCGAGAGAGTTTGTTTACAAGAAAAGATCTTCCTTTTGGCATAGGTGATGACTAGGGTGGTCTTCATTTTCCAAAATTAAAATTTCAATTTTTTAAGTTTTAAGATTAAGAATAATAGTTACTCCTACAAAGTCATGGATATTTTAATTTCAAGGAACTTTGCTGAAGAAATCAAAATTCTATCTCATCAAAATATCATCAAAAGGAAGATCTTTACTGGTAGACAAACTCTTCCGAAAATGTCCAACCTCTTAAGGGCATAGTTTTCGAGATATCTATTTTTGCCGTGAAATTTTGCGTTTTCGACCATAGTACAGCGACTTGGAAAAGGGACATTTTGGGTCAGAAAAAAAAATACTAACTTCAATATTATTTGACTGAGGTCCGTATTTTTCCAGCCCGAAAAGTGACTAGTGTAAAAGATCATTTCTAAACTTTTTGTTTAAAATTTCTTTTCTTGAATCCTGATAAAGAGAGAGAGAGAGAGAGAGAGAGAAAGATTAGTAATTTCCATTTAATTCCACTACCTTATTTGCTTATCCTTGACAGATACGAGTATTTCGTCTACAATGTGCAGACCTCTTCAGTGTCTTGTACTAATAATCGACAGTCGGCAGTCGAGTATTGGTACAAGACACTGAAGAAGTCTGCACATTGTAGACGAAATACTCGTATCTGTCAAGGATAAGCAAATAAGGTAGTGGAATTAATTGGAAATTACTAATCTTTCTCTCTCTCTCTCTCTCTCTCTCTCTCTCTCTCTCTCTCTCTCTCTCTCTCTCTCTCTCTCTCTCTCTCTCTCTCTCTCTCTTTATATTATTTTCTTAAATTTTGAACAGAAACCCATTGTTTAGATTTTCAAAATCGTGATTAATTGTTTTGTTTTTTTCCCAGAATTACTCGAAAATTTTGACCGTACGTACTTTTCCTGAAAAGAAATTATTTTTTTCCACAACTTTATCTCGGGCGTCATTTCGATTGGAAGTGAAGTTTTCGAGTTATGATTTGTTGAAAAATATCAAATGCGCCAGTTTTCAGTTTTTTTTTTTGCGAGGTTCAAAATGGTCGACTTTAAGCTTACATGTGGATGATTGACCTTAACAAATAAGTATACAAAGTTTTATGCAAATCGGAGAAAGTTGAATCTGGAATTCATTTTGTTTTGGCTATTTGGTCTGGAATTGCTCAATGTTCATATTTTCTATCAGTATTGACAGTGTCCTAAAATTCAATTGAAAATATCGTAAACCGCCATAACTCTGCCCGGTCAATAAAAACGTTATTTTAACTAAGTGATGAAATAGTTTTGAAGCTACTAACGATAAACTATTTGTTCCAAAAATTCCGGTGTTATATCCTAGACAAATGGTTAATTCCAAGTTCGCTGTGTCATCGTCGGAGTCGCTTATCATATTTTATTTTATCATATACATTTCATTGGTTAGGGATAGGCCTGATTGAAGCGATTTGCCAAAATTTCGTGAATTGAAGGTGGGCTCTTCTCCCCACACATTGGGCCATCCCCTGTATGATGACTTGTTCTGTATCGGGTTGGAACATTTTTATCATTGGAAGGATATTCTTCTTGCTCCCGTCTAAGTGTCTATTCCGTTTGTGACTTTACTAGGTCATACCTTAGGGATTAGAGAGGCTTTGTATGTCATGAAAAATTATCTAGAAAACACATGTACAAATTTTAGGAAAAAGTATGCTTATTAGAACGTGTTGCCCAAAACGGGAAGGCACTGTATTCAATTGAGAACTGCTTAAATAGTAATTCAATTGAGAGTAACCTGCGGACAAATGACATACCAACTACACTCATAGGCGCACACCCGACATTTTCCATACATAGGTATGAACCTCTTTTCTGGTTTTATTCCTTAATTCTCTGCAATATATCAATTGAAAGTGAATGTAACCCAATTGACGTTGATCAGAATTGATTGAATGCGTCTGTAGGATTGCGGTCAATTGAATGATCTGAACATTAGCAGCACTATTGTATTTTGTAAGAATCTCATCAAACAATTCAAAGTCATCTTCCCATTCCAAAGCTCATGTCTCCTTTTAGGTACAATGCACATTTACCAGCCACGCACCGTAGCAAAACTCACACCATATGCTTGCTCAGTGTTGCCAGCTTGTCAGCCCTTTGCCACAGCGCAATAGTAAATTTGTCCTGGAGAGAATGTTGTAACTTTGAACAAATTTCTCAATTGAAAGTACCTATGTTTGTGTTTTTGCGGTTGGCATGCGGTGCTGCTCTTTACGAGAAGCATGATACACCGCAATGCTAACGATGGTGGACAAAAAGATAGCGAATTGAAAAAAGGTGTGCTCTAAAAGTGGCATTCCGGGAAGGATCCCATGGGATGCGTCATGGACCGTTTTCCAAAATGAATGAATTCCAGCGACCAGCACCACTCTTCGCAGGAAGAAAAGAAGTCCTCCACGAACAATTAATCTTCATTGCTCATTTGATGACGTACTTTGCTAGTCCAATTTTCCTTTCTGGTGTAGGCGGCGAAGGTGGTGGTGTTGATGGAGAAATACTCATTTGTTAAGTGAAGTGCTATTTGTTTGGTTTGTATTTACTGCGTCCACCTATCTTTGCCGGGTGGGTTCCAAACCGGGGAAAACGAACAATTTCACCGCTGCTAGTCTCCAGTGTTGCTTCTGCTTTGGTGAATTGCGGTGCCTTAAAAATAGAAATGCTATCCCTTTGTACTTTCGTTAATGAAATTGTTTTATCGTCCAAACAACCATTTGGAAGCATTTCCAGGAACTGTTTCGGATCATTGTGGGTAATTGTATTAATTTGCTTTCGTTTTTCTTGTCCTCTTTACAGGTATGTGACCCTTAACTGATGCTTTGGCAAGTATGAACCATTACCGCTCGCGGTTTAGAAAAAAAATCCAAATGAACTAAATCACCCAAATAGGTGCAATTTTACTGCGCTGTGACCCGGAGAACTAGCTCAAGGTTCACCCGATTTGAACCGATTTATTCCGCTCTAATAGCACTGCAAAACTCACAAAAGACCGCGAACGACGGGTCACGACAAAACTTTCCCCACAAAAGTCATTTCCAAAGCTGCATCGTCGTCGTCGCCTTTAGGTTCATGGTATGTTTTCGGAATTGCCGCTGCAGGCAACGGTCATTTATCGTCGAAAAAGGGTGATTGGATTTTCTTTCGGTTTCTTCCTTTTTTGTTTTTTGACTCGATACATGTACACGAATTTTCCCCCAGACTCGGATCGTTGACGCTCGCATTCTTGATTGCTTCATCCATTTGACCGCGCGCCGAGCTGATGGTGCACTCTCAGATCAAACGCTTTTCGCCCTTGCCTCTGCTCCTTGTGGTTTCTTCTGAAGTGCTTAGCAATTTTTCAGGTAAACGATAACATTGTAAAACCGGTTTCGCTTTTATGACGGTCGCTGCCAACTAGAACACATATTCACACAACGGTGGGGGTGCCTTTTAGCAACAACACTTAATACCTTCTTTCCCCAAATGTGCACAGTGGGTGCAATGTGATGGAAAATTTTATGTATGACACTGTTTCCAACATGATTGTTGTTATGAGTTGCTTGAAAATTGTTATTACTATTGTGAGAGTTTTTTTTTTAAATATGATTTAGATATTCATGAACACATTAAGGTGCAGAAAGCTTCGTAGACATATCTAGAATCAGTGTTGGTAAAATCATCATTCAAATGATATTTTTCCGCTCTCATACGCTCTCAATGCCACGCACAGCGTTGCCAGTATTCCGGATTTATCTGTATTTTTCAGATTTTTAGTAGTCTTGCCAGATACACAGACATACCACGTATATGTCCAGATTTTTTAAATATGTTCCAGATTTTCTCAGATTTTTTAATCATGTTGCTTTAAAAATATCACTGCAATTGATCTAAACTCTAATAAAAAAAAATAAAAAGCCAAACTTGCTACTTTAATTATTAAAGGCCATCAACGTTGGACATTATTGGGATTTTAAGGTGTGTGAAGTGTAAGGAATTTCGAGCTCATTCTGAGTAGAATTCCATCCATCTTTGTGGGCTTCGTAGTCGTGCGACGTCACCCGTCGTTCAGGCGTATTGCCGCTTGAGTCGGTGCAAATTTTGACAATTTGAAAATTTCCCTACTGGTCTACTGGGTGTGGTGTGTTGTCCGTTTTCTTGTGTTAAATATTCAGTCTGTGGACCTTTGATTGAAGACGGTGTCAATTGTCTTATCAACGCTGATGACAATTGCATGGAGATTTTGTGGTTGCAAAACACGACACTCTGCTACGTATATGCGCCATCGGGGACAGTTGTTCGTGCGGAAAGAGAAAGATTTTTCAACGGCACGATCGCGTACTACCTTCGGTACAACACTCAAAACGTCATCCTCGCTGGAGATTTTAACTGCGTGCTACGTCCGACCGACTCAACGAGTTCCAACACAAGCCCGGCTCTCCAAGCGACCGTACGGCAGCTACAGCTTCACGGTCTGTGGCTGAAATTGTACCCCACAACCCCCGCACCCCAGGCGAGTAAGAGAGGTGCCACAGTCGGAAGAAGTGTTAGTTTGTTTACTTAAATGAACCATGCCCATTTTGTTATGGCAAGTTTGCTATAAGAAATGCTCCTCGTGTTTATTAGCGAAATTCACATCATAGATTGATTAATTGCGTAGGAAATCAGTTTGGCACGGCATTTGTGACCAGCATACACCTTCCGGTCGTATGAAGCAGGTCAAAAACTGTCCAGATTGGCAGATAAAAATTTTTGTTTTGAATTTCTGTATAGCAAAATAGTGAACTTTTCGTGAACATTAACGGCAAAGAACTCACCAACACTGGGAGACCGTGAGTTCCTGCCCACCTGTCATCTCCCATCTCGCCCCGCACCCACGTACATCACACACAATGCGGCATCCAGGCTCGACCGCATGTACGTCAGCGCTGGGCTTTGCGAGCATCTACGGAGTTCTGCCACGCACGTATGCTTATTCACGGATCACAAAGCGCCTTCCCCACCTTGGCCGCGAACAAGGACGCGGTTACTGGTCCCTCCACCCTCACCTCTTAACCGCCGAGAACTTAGAGGAATTCCAAGTGCGATGGCAGTTTTGGACCTGCCAACGGAGAAATTTCCCCAGCTGGATGACATGGTGGCTCTCATGCGCGAAGCCAAAAATAAAATCTTTTTTCCGATGGAAGTCAAGTGAAGTTTTCAGGACTTTCAACGCAGAACAACAACGACTCTACGAGCAATAACGACTCGCATATGATGGCTATTACCAGAATCCCACCATGCTGGTGACCATCAACCGCGTAAAAGCACAAATGCTCACGTTGCAGCGGCAGTTTGCGCAAAACTTCATCCGCATCAACGAGACGTTTATAGCCGGCGAGAGCATATCCACTTTCCAGTTGGGTGATTGACGACGTAAAAAAAACAACCATAAAGGTGTATTCAGATCTGAGCGATATTTCACGCGCGGGGCAAGATTTTGCGAAGGTACGAAAGGGAGAGAAGTCAGTCCGCCTTGAGAAGCGTCCGAGAACGGTTGTGTATTTTTGCTCCACTGCGTGCTTTTTTTTAGAGCTCGGGCTATCTTTGTGCTGCCGTGTAGTTTTTCGGTGCTCGCATTTGAATAGTTTTATGTCCCGGACGCGATAATTCTATTTAGAATGATTTGTGCTGATGTTTTTCCCCTGTTGCTTTGGTGCCTGGTGTGCTCTCGCTCCCTTTGTTGACGGTGTGACTCGACCACGCTGATCTATTATTAGGTTTTTGCGGTGTGCATTGCTTTTGTGCACAGAGTGACATGAAGAAGAAAAGTGATATTTAGTTATTGTGTGGTTGGATTCGCTGGAGGAGGAATTGTGTAAAAATGACTAGAGAAAATTAAACATCGAGAATGCGCTCCCGGATATATTGATTTGGTGAGTACGTTCCAGTTGAAGATTGTTCTCTCTAAATATCCCTTTTTTGAATACGTTTCATTAATCAAACATTATTATATGCTGGGTTTGGGGGGGCAGCCTAAGGGTTTCAATGGATTTGTAGACTGGACAAGGGTTCGTGGATTTGCCAGTCCCTTTTCACGTGTTGATAGACGTACATCTTGTCGTTTGTCTTCCAAAGGTCTTCAATGAAGTTGATTCACCCTGCTGCAACAAACCATCAGGCAGAACTTTACAACCAGTGAAGTATCTGCAGTCATAGGTAATCCTTGCACTGATGGTGGGTTCTATTCACATCACATCACATCACAGGTACGAAAGGGAGAGAAGTGATAGTTGTCTCTCTCATTCCAACGTAAAATTTGCTCCGCTTCGCTACTACAGGCTCAGATCTGAATACAGCTTAACAGGGCTGCAGAACGAACGAGGAAAGCAAATACAAGGCTCTCTGGAGATCGAGCAACACATGTTTCGATACTTCAGGGACCTGTATGCGGCGGAAGAGACGAGGCAGGTGGGGGAAGAAATGTTCGAAACTGAGAGAGCCGTACCCGTGAACGACGAAGCCAACGCAGCTCTAATGGCAGAGATCAGCATTGACGAGTTGAAAAACTCCATCCGAACGTCGCAAAAACGTAAATCACCGGGGATCGATGGTTTGCCGGTAGAGTTCTACCTACGAACTTTCGACGTCATCTATCGAGAGCTCTACTTCGTTATTAATGAAGCTAAAGGGTGATACGGTCAAAATTTGGTCAAGGGAAAACGCGTGTAAATCGGTGAAATCGTTTATTTAAAAAATCAAATTAAATTTCTTTTTCAAGTTCAATTAGTATAAAATTCAGAAAAAATATTCAGTTAGGCTTCCGCTTTTCCAAATCCGAATTGCCGGGCCTTACGCTTGACCCCTGCCATCAGATTTTGTACAGCCACCTTGTCCACCTTCTTCGCCGCAGAAAGCTAGTTTGCCTTGAACTGCTGCTCGCCCTTAGCAGTTTTTTTGGTCTTCTTTAGGTTCCGCTTGACAATAACCCAGCTTTTCAAGCCACAGGTACAGATGGCTTGCCAAACCAGATATTTCTTTGCGAACTTTGACAGTTTCATGTGCTTGAAAACATCTGCTACCTTTCCCCTTCCTTTTGCCGTATAAAACTCCTGTCCCGGAAGCTGCTTGTAGTCGGCTTTGACGTAGGTTTCGTCGTCCATTACCACGCAGTCAAATCGTCGTGTACAGCCTCCGGGATCGCGCTTTGGCCGTCGTATTTTGTTTATCATCGCGATTTGGAGTCACTACCTTCTTGTAAGTCGATAGTCCGGCTCGTTTTTTGGCTCGATGCACGGTTGTAGACGATACACCCAGCTTATTTGCGGCATCTCGGAGAGAGAGGTTAGGGTTTCGCTTGAAACTACCGGCAACTCTCTTTGTCGTCTCAGCGGCTTCCGGTTTTCGATTTACCCCCGATCCAGACTTCCTGGCTGTCGACAAACGTTCCCCAAACACTTTAATTACATTTGTAACGGTTGATTTGGCAACTTTTAGCGATTTTGCCAACTTTGCGTTCGAGTAGCTCGGATTTTCGCGATGCGCGAGCAAAATTTTGATACGCTGCTCTTCTTGTTTGGACGGCATTTTGACAACTGAAGAGTGAATTCCAAAATCAAAATAGGAGCAACATTCTACACACACACACACCTTCAAAATGAGGGGTGTTCAGGTTTTTTAAATGCAAAATTGAAAGAAATACGTCAAGTTGATATTGACCAAATTTTGACCGTATCACCCTTTACCTTCGGAACAACACTCAAAACGTCATCCTCGCTGGAGATTTTAACTGCGTTCTACGTCCGAGCGACTCAACGAGTTCCAACACAAGCCCGGCTCTCCAAGCGAC